ATGGGGTGGGGCCACAACATTAGTAACAAAGAAACAAAATTTCCGGAGGATGAGGCCCGGAAATCAGGATTTTAAAAAGATTCCCAGGTGATTCTAATGTGCAGCCAAGGTTGAGAACCTCTGCTCTAGAGTCAGCATTAGAATTATAGAAGCATTTGAATTATAGAAAACAAAAACACATGGTAAATATACAATGGCTTTAAATGAACATTAAACAATCATAAATATTAAATGAATATTTGAAGAATTGGATCTTAAAATGTTGTTTCTATTCAAGAATAAGATATGTAAATTTTTAGAAATGTTTTCTTCTGTACCTTAGTGGAGTTTTCATCATATTGGCCCAACAAAATTTTGTTAACTATGTTTTTAGACATCAGTCTATTTTGTGGCTATTATATATGTTATCTTCTACTATATTTATATGTAGGTAATGTTGCTTATTTTGTATATTAATTCCATACCTTAATGAGTTCTTTAAAACAATTCTTCCATTCTCTTACCTAGAGACATTGGCTTGTACTTCCAGAACAATGCAAAATGATACTTGTGATTGCAGGCACACACCATTTACAATCAATATGTCGTTTACCTGCTTTCTTCTTTCAGGAGGAGCAAAAGATGACAAGTAAATTTCCCTACAAGGAGTTACTGGGGCTACAGGGTTTAAATGTCTTCCTCAAGGATATAACAAGATGGAAAGAGTCCCTACCATTTTTAAGTGAGCACTTGTGCCAATAAAAGGTGACTTCTTGGCCAATGAATTAGGGGTAGTTGGAATGCTAATTATTTATTGCCTCAACTGTCTTCCTTCCTGGCACTGAGACCAATGATGAAGGCAAACATATTGAGAAATCTGTTCCTCTGTGGACTCTGAGAATAAAGATTCACTTGATGTGAACCCCATGAAGGAAGTTATCTGATAAGATAGACTCCCCATGATCAAACCAGGGCCCAAATTTTATAAACAATAAGAACCTAGTAGCCATTTGCTCACAGGGGCTCCTCATGTACTGTGCATACTGGGAAAAACCTCAATGTGAACTCTTGGCTTCCCACACATGCCCTGCTTGTTTAAGCCATCTTAGTCAACCACTGAAGGGAAGCCTGGTTTTGTCTTTTGACCAATGGACTGAGACCTGCCCTAACCAATCAGGACTGCACAATTATATCTTCATTTGCATCTATGCCAACTAATCAGAACCACTCTGTAATCACCAATCAGAACTGCATGATTCAGAGCAATCAGAATTGTTAGAATTTGGTAACGTTATTTGCATAAAATTGAGCCAATCAGGAACCTGGGCGGGAACTTTATAAATGACAGTCTCCCCTTTGTCTCAGTGGAGTGCACTTTTGCTTTCCACAGGAAGCTGCCTGAGGAACTGCTTCACCTGAATGAAGTCTCTCCTTTTCCGCACCTCTTTGGAAATTTTGGTTCACACTCTGTAGTCTTCACCTTCAAAATCTCAGTCCAAGCTCCCTTAGGTGAGTCTGCAGAAGGTGACCTCCTTTCCTCCCTCTTTGATCCCACAGTGATGGGTGTATAGTTAGGGTCACTAGTGGGGAGGGGCATTGATTTAGTCCAAGTCCTCTGTCCAGCCCTGGCTTCAGAATATGCAATACCAACAACCCTGAAAAATAGTCATCAGAGGGAAGGTAATGACATACCCTGTACCCTTAATTACACACTGTAATTCTCCACACGCTGTCTGGAAAATGCATTAACCCAGTGTGTTCATTGGCTAGGGCTGCCATAACAAAACACTACTGATTGGTTGGCTTAAACAACAAATTTATTTTCTCACAGTTCTGGATGCTAGGAGACAAAGACCAAGGTGTCCATAGATTTGGTTTCCTCTGAGGCCTCTCTCCTTGGCTTGCAGATGGTCATCTTTTTGTTGTGTCCTCATATGGTCCTTCTTCTGTGTACATACATTCCTGTCATCTGTCTTTTTACAAATGACAACAGGAAGGCCCAGTACTGACAAATGACTTGTGAAATATCCATTAATTGGCTGTAGTCAATTTTCTCTGATGTTTCTGATGTGCCCTAATGGGAGGGAGCTGTGGCATGGATAATACCAAACAGTAAATAATCTAAAAATAGTTTCTGTTTGGTTTGGGAAAGCAGCACATGACTTCCCGGCCGCCAACTGGCCTGGCTAATTCAGTTTGGCTCAAATGAATGTGCCTTTTCCTGAGTTTACACTGATAGCCCAGGCCTGTGCCGAGGTGTGGAAGAATGGTGGCCAAGCTAAATGCCTGCTGTGGCCAGGTCCCCAATGAGCAACAGGCAGTCTGTCAAAGGCACACCATGATTGTATGGACAGCAGGACAGAGCTAGCTTTTTCCTGACCCTTTATGAGGGTTGAGGGCCAGACCAGACAGCATGCCTGATGTAGGAGGTGTCTGGCCTGTGGTAAAGAGATCCTGGGGGAGACAGGTGGGTGCCAAGACACTCACCTAGCCACCAGCTCACACAGGGGATTCTGCAACCTCACATTTACAGGCCAGATTTCATGCAATGTGCCTGACATGTATCATTTCCTTTAAAGCTAAGGCCTCTGCAGCTGCAGACTTATGGTTTGCCTTGGCAAGAGGCAACTCTGCTCTGAGACTTTGCAAAGGGAATCTTGACCCAGGCTGAATTACTCTTAAGGTTTTGGATACATCGCAGTGTAGTTGATCTGTTTTGCGTGTACCATACAAATCAGTTCATTAATTCATTCAACACTTACTGAAGGCCTTCTGTGTATCAGATTTGACATTTCAGGGAATAAAGAGATGAAGCAGTCATGGGTCTTGTACTCAAAGACTTAATAATCTATTCAGAAAAATAAGACATGTATCTAAATAACTATATTGCAAGGTTGAAAGCTCAGACCAGAGCCTTAGTTATATTAGTACATATACATATGCACAAATGTAATTCATTATTATTTTTGAATAGTTTAGATTGCTCCTACCAGGTGGCCAGGCATTAGATAAAGCATTTTAGAAGGGGTATATCACATCCATACTGTTGAAGAGGGGACTCCTCTCCCCACACTTCTACCCTGGGCCACCCTCTTCTAAGTCCATGTCCCCATGCCTTCAAGGAATTATTGGTCTGATTCGTCAGAATCCAGGAATTCACAGGGTCATTTGCTTCACAGGGCAGGGTCACGCTAAAAATAAGTTCTGTGGCCAAGGCCATCTGTCTTCTGTGTACATGGTCAGGAGGTTTTCTAGGGGCCATCCGCGCCCCCCCCCCCCTTCCAGGTGGCCTTTGCCCCACCCTCCTCAGGACAGATGAGATACATATACGTATAATAGTTGATCTTAACTCACCTCTTTCTATTCCCCTCTGAGGACTCTCTGGCCAAGCAGCCCTGCCACTGGCCCCCAGAGGACCACGATCATTCTTACTCTGCCTTGGGCTGGGACTGGTTCCCTCACCTGCCTCCCTATTCCCTATGTGTCGACCTAGGGTATTGTGCTATAAAAGACACAGGCTTCCGGGTATGTGGTCAGCTTTGTGCACTAGCTCTGTGGCCTTGGGAAGATTACCTAAACTGCCTTTGTCAGCCTCTGTTTCTTCATTTGGAACATTGGTATAGTAACACCTACCTCACAGAGGTGCTGTGAGGCTTTTGAGAAATAACAAGTATAAGCATAATAGGTGCTTAAAGAACGGTGGTTGGTGTCATTATTTTCATCCCTTAATGTCAGATTTGCCTTAGCCTCTTCCGTGATTCCCTTCTGAGAACTACAGTCAAAACTCATCCCTTACCTTCTTCATCTCTTACCTCTTACCTCCCTCCCTTCAGGGAGGCTCTCCTGATTAATCAGATCTCTCCATTGTTCTGCTTATGTTGACTGCCACTGGACTGGTATGAATGCTTCTCATCTGTTTTGAGACCCCCCACTAGAATGTAAATTCCTGAAGGCAAGGAAATTTGTACATTCACTTCACACTGAATCCCCAATTCTAGATTTTGCTTGGAGCCCAGAAGAAACTCAGTATTTGCTGAATGAATGAGTTAATAATGAATGAGTGAGTCCTCTGACCTCTCTCTTACTTTCCTGAATTGTTCTTTTTCTGTTTCCATTTTCTCCAGGTTAGTCTTGTTCACCTACTGAGGACATGTGTGTGTTTTTAAAATATCGCAGTTACATTCAGTAACTGTATATAAGGAAACAGGTAATCACACAACCCATGATAATGGAATGGAAAATTTTTATCTCTCTAGTTCTTTAAAAAAAATCACCTGTTCCCTTTATCCCAGATTGTGTGGGTATATATTTTAGCCTTGCAGATAGCCCTCTCCCTGTGGCTGAGTATTTTGAACGTACCTTAAGACTTTAAGGAGTTGATTAAATACAGGACGTACTGGGGCTCTGGGTTTGCATAGTTTTCTCCACCACAGCTGCAGGATGGGAGAACCTGGTTACAGGAATTACAGGGTCCCATGTAAACACGGACCCCAAAGCAGCATGGGGCTGCAGTGCCTGTGTATGTTTTCCCCCATCTCTTAGGTTATTGTTTCCTAAAAGTCTGTGATCCTAAAATGCTCCCAGCTCCCAATTATTGCTCATATTGGCCAAGATCTCTCCACAGTAGGATAGATGCATGCATAAATATGCACGGCACGGGCAGTGACCTTTTCCACCCTTTAGTTCAGAATCTTGGTCACCATTGGCCTATCAGTGTTGGGAATGAGCCTGTTCTAGGGCCTTGCCAAACCACACTGCCACAGTCCCTTGATCTCCACCTTTAGCTCTACAGAGACTAGATCCAAGCTTTGAAAACGATGCTTTGTCTTTACCTTGGGCCAAATCGAATAGTGAGGTGGGTCTTCTTCCTCATCCCATCCAATCTCTTGGATTGTTTTGAGACCCCCCACTAGAATAATGAATGAGTGAGTCCTCTGACCTCTCTCTTACTTTCCTGAATCGTTCACTCATCCCATCCAATTCTCTCTCCGGGTGGAATGGTGGTGAGGGTGATGGGACGGGGCATTTGGTTGAGGTAGGGGGAAGCTAATGGGGATGGGAGTAGTAACCTTCTGCCAATAAATATATAAAAGTAAAATTTTGCAGTGAACACATGGTAAGTAAACAGTAAACAGTAAGCTAGGAACATGTATTTGGACTGGTGAGAAGAGAATGAAGTGATTGTCAATTAAATTTTCTAGGGTTCACCCTAGGGGAAATATGGATCAAACCTACCACCCCTCCTACAAGAGTGGGGCTAAGGTTTGTTATGCCCCTTGGTGGTTAACAATTATTTTGAGTTCATTTATTTCTATGATTCTTGAAATAAGTAATATCAGGAAACTAACTGGCTTTGCTCAGGATGTTTTCCCATCGATCCTCAGGTTTCATAAGCCATTTTGGGATCTCCTCTGAGGTCTCCAGCCCTCCCTGACTTCCTGTCATAAAAGCTATGACTTTCCTGTCTCCTTCCCAAGAATGTGGTTTTGCATTTTGGAGCTAAAGGATTCTTGAACTCACAGCATTTCTGAGTCTGGGTTCAGGTAAAGATTGATTGATGTCTCCTTGGGGAGCCAATCTAGCCCTGAAGCCTGGGAGCTTACGTCTGGCTCGATGTGTCATTAGGCAGCACAGAGGTTCAGGTTCAGTCTTGCCAGCAATTCCTCCACCTGCCAGACAAATTACATGAATCTCTGCCTCTATCCCCAGAACCTCTAGTCCCACAGCCTCCCTTGTGAACACAATTTTTTTAAAAAGGATTTTATGAAAAAGAAAGCCCCACATAATATTTATTTATTTAGTATACCACTAACAGATTTATTGCATAAGACATGGATGAGAAAAAAAGGAGTAATAAATAGTAGGAATTTAAAATGGTTTTAGGGGTTAAATATTTTTAGAGATAAAAGCAAAGTAAATGGGTTTCTTTTATTATTATTTAATTAATTTATTAATTTTAATAGTTTTTTATTGTTGAAGGTATTACATATGTCCCCCTTTATCCCCCACTTATGCCTTCCAGCCCACCCCAGGTAGGTTTCTTTACTGCAGGATTTCCCAGAGGCTTTGGTATGCTGATATATATTGTAAATTTCCAATTAATTTACATAAAATAGGCAGCAGTTCCCAATTTAGGTGAATTCCTCTGCTTTTTTTAAAAAGGGAGTATCTCTTAGAATGGATGGACCTCTCACAGTTTGGGAAACATTGTATTGGGTAAGTTATTGTCACTATTGTGATTTCATCCAGGTGGCTCAAGGCCAGCCCAGTGCCAATCTCTTCCCTGAGAGAGTGAGGACAACTAAGCTTCGTGCCCTGGAGATGGAAGTGCAGGCTTAATGCTTGGGTGAGTCTCATGAGTCTCATTAGACTTACTAGTTTTCCTGGTTCTCTGGTGATCTTTCCTTTACATTTGAGGCTCCATCCTTCTAGCTCTGATTGAAGCTTGAGTTGCAAGGCACGAGGAGCTATGGAGGGGCTTTCCCAGGGCTTCTCAGCTGCCCAGTCTTGTCTCCCTCCTGCTGATGCAGCTGCCAGCGGGAGGTAGCCAGGACTTCAGAGTAACTAAATCATGGTTAATTCTGGACCAGAAAGACCAGGCGCAGAGCTCTGTTCTCTGCCAAGACCAACTCAAATGGTCTGTCTTCTCCTCTCAGCATGTTGGCTTGTTGGACCTCAGACATATTGGAAAGAAGTCTTTTTCCCTTTTGCCTTCTTCTTTATTCCTAAGGTTGCCAAGAATTTGATTTTATTTTTAAAAATGCTTTTATTTTTAAATTACAAGTTAAATAATGCTTATTGTAAAAATTTCCAATAATACAAATGTGTGTAGTTTTCCCCTTCTCTCATTGCACATACTTTCACTCCCAAGTGTGTAGTGTACATCATTCTAGAGCTTTCTCTGTGCACTTGTAAATAATAGATAAAATATTTTTGCTTGTTTGCTTATATGTTTTCAGTTTCACTCAACAATATTTCATGGAAACCTTCCATGTCAGTGCATAAATGTGAAATATATTTTTCTTATTTTTTTAAAGTCAAGTATATTGAGGGAAAATTTACATAAAATAAAATTTGCCTTTAAAAAAATAGTTGGATGAGTTTTGACAAAGTAGACAACCATTCCAATCAAGATAAGAACACTTTCATCACCATCAAAAGTTCCCTTTGCAGTCAGATCTCTTCTTATAACCCTAATCCCTGGTAACTACTGATCTGTTCTCCATTCCTGTAGTTTGCCTTTTCCAGAATGCCATATAAATGGAATTATATAGTATTGTAGCCTTTTGTGTTGGCCTCAGCATAATGCATTGCAATTCATCCATGTTACTTGTTTCAATAATCAGCTTGACTGCAGTAATCATTACACAATGTATATTTATATCAAAATATCATGATGTATACCTTAGGTATATACAACTTTTATTTACAAGTTTTTAATTTAAGAGGAGAAATCTCTGCCTAAGATTTTTTTCCTGTTTTCTTCTAGAAGTTTAATAGTTTTAGCTCTTACATTTAGGTATATGATCTACTTTGAGCTAATTTTTAAGTATGGGGCAAGGTAAGGGTTAAGGTTCATTTTTGTTTGTTATGCTTATGGAAGACCAATATTTCCAGTATTATTTGTTGCAGAGACTACTTATTCTTTGTCATGACTGTATAATGTTTGATTGAATGGAGGTTTGGTGATTTTCTCAGCTATTCTCATATTCATGGAGAATTAGGCTGTTTCAAAGTTGAGGCTGTCATGAACATCCTTGCACCTAATACACTGGCAGTTGAATGAGTATTGCAGTAGAATTTATGAATAAAATCCCATGTTTATGTTAAGTGTTGATGGATATCCCCAGGTTGTTCTTCAGTATACTTTCCCACCTACAAGGCCTGAGAAGGACGGCTCTAACTTTGATTGGATTTATTGGTGTAAGCCTTTTACAAATCTACAATAATTTCCTTCTGGAAAAATCTAATAGCCTATGTTATTAGATTATGCAAGATTCAGAGCCCTTCCAAGAAGGTTTGAAGAAAAGATGATAATTTCTGCCTTGGTCAGTTAGGGTAAGCTCATAAGAAATTGGCTCATAAAATACGTGGTACACGGGAAATGGAAATTTACCAAAACAAAACAAAACAAAACACAAAAACATTTGTTTAAAAAGTATTGGGGGTTTATAAATACCTCTGTGCTGTAGCCTCCCCTAAGGGTAGAGGTTCCTGTATTAACTTTAATCAGCAATGACTTGCCCCCTAGTGGCCTGAATATATACTTTCAGTCTCCTGTATGCAGGCATAACTCCGGGCTGCTGTCAGTTCACAGACCCTCACTCTCACTATACTCACGAAAGTCCTCCCTTGTACCAGGCCTGTACCAGCCAGCTGCATGTGCAAAAACACAAAGGGGTGCTAGGAATGCAAGTTGCTCAGTGTGGCTGACGCATAAAGTTATGCTGCTTTTCCTACTTTCTTCTCATTCTACAATGTTATGATTTGGTCAACTTGAACTAACATTGTTGAGGATCTATTATTAGGTGACAGGAACCGTCCTGGGGCCATGAGGATACACAGAGCTATGGAACAGTCCCCCATCATCAGGGACATTAACACAGGTTAAATACCAACACAAAATGGTATAGAAGCAGTTCAAAAACAATACCAACAGGTGTCACAAGCAGGACAATATTGATATAATCTGTGCCAACTTCATGCCATCCTATCTAATAATAGACAAACATGGTAATTGACCGTACCTTTGCTACGCCTCCCATTGGCTAAACAGCATGATATGCAAATTAACCACCAATAAAGATGACGGCTAATTTGCATACTGCAGGCAGGGCGGGACAGCGCAAGCCGCCATCCAGGCCCCTGTGTTCGACCCCAGAAGCCGCCTGCTTGCCGCCTGGGATTGGATCCGATCCCAGGCCGCAGGCCGGCCCCAGAAGCCCCAGAAGCCTCCTGCCTGCCGCCCATGATCGGATTCGATCCCGGGCTGCAGGCTGGCCCCAGAAGCCCCAGAAGCCACCTGATATGGCAGTAACTCTATCAGTAAGCACTCTGAAAGTCAGTGTCATAAATGCGCCAATTAAAAGACAGATTATGAGGGTGAGTCAAAAACAAAACCCACTTTAAATATAAAGACACATATAGATTAAAAGTAAATGAATTAAGCTGCAGCCTGTTTTGCTCAGTGGATAGAGCATTAGCCCATGGACTGAAGGGTCCCAGGTTC